AAGTGGAACTATAAATCTAACTAAAAACTCAAATCTTTGTGGCCTTTGTGGTGGGTCATCATCAACCATTGGTATTGTTAACAAGTAAAAAGCTTTGCAAAAACATCCATAACAACAAAAATGTTTTAAGTTAGAAAAGTGAAACAATGTTCCAGAACTAGAGGAAGAACAAGTGAAATATTTTTTACATTTGTCACTGCAATTAATTTTTAATCTCTCAACTTTTCAGCTCTGCACTTATATTTCACAGATGAAGTGGACTAACATAATGTTGCCTATCGGGGTGGAAATTTCTTGTGTCGCTTATCAATAATTGTGATAAATTTCTTATCTCAAGAATTCTGATTTATTGTTACTATACTAAATCGAAATTAATGTTTAAATGCCCCCATTATTGTTAGTTTTAATATTTTCTTTGCTGCTTTTTTATTGAGAGTATCAGTAACTTTCCAAATGTGATTCAATGCAGTTACTGTGTTTAGTTAGTGATACAAATCACAATTTTTTCAAGAACAGTATTGATGTTTTGGGGCAAAGCTTACTGTACCACTCAGTCACAGTCGTACTGAATGTTACCTACAAAAGTAATATATAGTTCTTATTTTAACTTTTACTTATTATCACAGGAGTAACAAAAAATATGTGATAAAAATGAACGTCCATTTCTCACACCCCAAGTTGCTGTAGCATCAGTGATTGACCTGCAATTTGAGATGATTCCAGAGCCGGCCTAAGGCAAAGCAAACTGAGCTTAGTGATGGTGGTAGGAGTCTGTCCTCTACTTGGTGGGTTGCTGGTTCGAGCCCCTGTTGTTGTGTCCTTGGGCAGGACGCTTCACCCACCCTGCCTGCTGGAGTGAGTCAAAAGGGCCGATGGTGCTGGTATGTGGCAGCTTCACTTCTGTCAGACTGCCCCAGGGCTCCTGCAGGTCATTCATTTTATTTATACAGTTGTACAATCCACAACAAATGTCATCTCAAGATCCGACTGCAATCCTGTAGCTTGAGACCTTCATCGTAAATATGGGAATGACTAATTTCATAAGAAAGTCTAATGCCTTTTTGTCTCATAAGGAGTCAGACCTTCAGAGTAAATGATTTAATGTTTACCAAGACCATTAATCTAGACTACTAGCCAGAGCTGCAAAAACATAGATCTTTGTGAAAGAATCTGCTTTGGTTGATAAGACCATGTTCGAACTTCAAGCATTAACTACAAAAAGTAAATCTAACACAAAAAAAACAGCACTGAACATTTAAACAGTGGTGACATAATGCATTTAAACTTTCTCCTGTTGAAATTGAGATATTTGGTCAGGTGGATGGAATTATGGACAAATGCCAGTTTATTTAGCCAAAAAAGCTGCAGTGTAATCTGGAACACTGGAAAAAAGGAGGGAGTTTATATTTTATAGCTCCTGAGTCCAGGCTTACATATGAATTAGCAAACGATTGAGATCATTAAAGAAATTAAAGCTTAGGTTAACCTGGACTGCAAAATCATGCAATATTTGTAAAAATTTTGCTGACTAATTTGGTTGTAGTCTAGCCTAATTTCCCTAATCCTCTGTTTTAAAAAATATTGATAGTATGATGGTGCCTCAATATACAGTTCAGCTGTAATCTGTGTGAAGATTTCTAAAGGAAATCAAACAGAGTAAAAGTGTATTTTCTTCCTCTTGTCTTTCCTGGGTTAAAGAAGCCTGGACTGAGCTATTTAGGTAAAACATACTCACACTGTTTGAAATCTTCTTATCTAAACTCTTAGGAAAAAAAACAGAAGCAAATAATCCTTTTTTCAAAGTAAAAAGCTGGTCTTTATGTTTTTCTGTCTCTTGACGCTGGAGAGCCCTCAAGCTCCTCAATTTCCCTCTGTTGTCTCACTTCTCTCCCCTCCCTTCTTTTTCACACAGTCCCGGTTTCCCACCTCGTTTTGCCACCCAGCCGCCTCTGCATACCCTTATCCATCCATCCTTCCCTCTCTGCCGGCGCTCCCTCCCTGCCTCCTCTCGTTTGATATCCCAGTCAGCCTTCTACCTCTGTGTTCTCTCACCTTGTTGCCGGCTATAGGAAGGGTGTAAATTGTGTTGCTTTAAATACCCGTGTCTTCCTCCGGCTTACAGCTTTGGTTGGAGATGAAGAAGGGGTTGCGCCTTTTATTTTTGCAGCTTGAGTGTTTAGCCAGACTTTACCATTTAAACTGTAGCTGAACTTCCTTCCACTCCTTTAATTCCTGCTGTTTTGGGATCCTCAAATAACCAGAACAGCTGTATTTATATTCAGGGCTTACCGGGGTCAGATTCTAGTGGCGAGCAACTCTTTCTGCAAACTATTTTGGTACATATGGGCTGGGTGCAACACTTTGCACTTATACTTCTTAAACTTTTTAACTTAAAAATCACTGCATAACTCAATCTTGTTAAATCCACCCATCTCATCTCATAGGTAATGGCTCAAGTCCATTTAAAATATTGTTCAGAGTTTGATAAATTATCCTAATGTGTTTCATTCTACCCACATCATGCTGCAGCTTAATTAAGCCAGAATTTATCTTTGATTAATTCTGACTGTTAGAGCTAACAAAGTTACCATCCTCATATGGTGACTAACTTCCAAATGATTTGTATGCATTAACAGACCTTCAGATTTAATATGCAGAGGGCCGTTTCATCATCATTAAATTGTTTCAGGTTTTATGAGTCCTTTGAGGAAGATTAACCTTTTATTTATTAGCGTACATTAATTGAAATAAAATCAGTCTGACAGGCTGCAAGTCTGATCTTAGGGTGATGACTGTAGCTGAAGTTGGTAAAAGTTGAATACTTTGCTTAATATGCTGCTGTTAAAGTATGAGATGCAGTCTTTGCTTTCAGATTTTTCCTTCTTCAACTTTTAACCCACCTTCAGATCAAATAGACTTTAAAAATGCATTTTGAACTTTAAAATTGTTTGAACCTACAAAATATGTTTTTTTCTTCTCTGTATTTTCACAAACATTTACTGAAAAAAATTGCATAAACTGTGATAACTTCACATCCAAATTGGGAGAATATGTTGACAGGAGAACTCTTCGTCATGCAAACACACAAATCGGGCTTTTACAGCAGAGTGACAAAAAGAAATGCATTGTTTAAAAAAATACCTTGAACCGTTTGGTTGAGGATGCGCACTGGTCAAATAATACCAAAATATAGCGTTTTGGGTTCCATGGAAACAAATACTGCATGTCCTGAATATACCCTCCCCTTGATGAGCCATGGTGATGGCACCATCATGCTGTGGTGGTATTTTTTTATTCAGCAGGTGCAGCTGGTCAGAGTTGTTGGACAGATTGATGGATGAAGAAATCTGTTGGCTGCAAAAGATTTGGAATGGCCCAGTCAAAGTCTAGACCTGAATTCAATTGAAGATCAGTGGCAATAATTGAAAACTGCTTCCTCTGAATAGCTAGAATCTGTCAACACTGGAGGCCTCATTTAAACATGTTTCTAACTATATTTTAATAGTTCAAATACAAAGTATACCTTAAAATTTATTAATACCCACATTTTCTTTCAGATATTTCAGATATGATCCTCAATGAAATCTGGGCTGGGTGAGGGTCCATTATAATGTTTGTAGATCCTTCCAGTCTTTATTGAAAGATTTTGTCTTTCAATAAAAAGAAGAATGGGAAACTGGGAGACAGTTTCATCTCATTCTAAAAGATGTGAACCTGAAATTGCAGCAAAGGTGTTTCTTTTTTCCTAAATGTCACCTCAAATGTTAGCGAATACCAATCCATACCACAACGTTTGATTTCTGTTTGTAGAAAAAAGGTCAAATGATGTATAATTGTCACCAGAATTCATTGAAGTTTGTGATTGTAATATGAAAAAAGTGGAAAAGTTCAAGGAATAGTTTTACAAGGCACTGTTGTAATATTAGAACACAAGTAAAAAACCACTACAACAAAAAATATGCAAATTTGATTTAATGATTAAAGCTGAATGTCCTTTTATAATCATTAGCGCCATTTGGAGAACATTCCTCTCTAATGTGTCTTCTTGTTAAAGTGTCCCTAATGGCTGTTTTGGTTGAGACAAATGTCACACAAAGGTTATTCTGAGAAACAGTCAGCAGCTACCAAAGGCGCAACATAAGTTTGGACAATTTGTCGGAGCTCATTGTGGTTGGCTTGATGACTGATGCTTTGGGACAGCCAATTTGCTCAAAGTGTTCATGCCAAGTTGAGAAGCTCATGCGATCAGCCACAAGAATTAGACCAGGATGCTATTAAAGGAGACACTAATCCACAGGGCACTTGACCGCAAATTCAGGCCTCAGCCATCACGCTGCTTCAATAAACTTACCACAAGGTCACAGCTGCATTAAAACGGCGGCGACGTTCTGACATGTGGGGCTCCTGGTGTCTAAGCCTTCTGAATCCTGCTGGCAAGCAGCAGCGATACCTCACGAGCCGCTATCGCTGTCAGTCCTCACCGCCCAGAGCGATGCTAAAGTTTTTTTTTACCCTTCTAATAATTGATGTGTTCTGATGCCGAACTCATCTTCCATCTTTAAAAGATGGCCAACGTTCCTGCAGGCATTTCCCTGCTCATGTTCTGCAAATGTGTGTTTTTGATGCTACATGTATTTGGGTTTTCTCACCTCCTCTTCTGCATCCTCACTTCATGAGCCCCTCCCCATCCTCTTTCATGTCTTGATGGGAGTTCTGCCCAAGCACATTTAAGCAGATGTTCTTCCTCTGAAAAAGAAAAAATTCAATTCCACCAGCCGTGCACGGATGTGATAACACCCCACGCTCCATATAAACCTGTCTCCCGCTTGACAATTTGGTTCCAATTAAACTATTTATACACGCTGTATTTAAGGGGTGAGAAGACCGCTCAAGGCGTATCCTCTTATGAGATGCTCCCTCTTATGACTGGGTCTTTTTTCTTCACTTATGCTGTTATTTTTTTTGTTTTGGCCCACCGTTGCAATTTGAAGTGCCGTAACATGTGCGAGTACGGACGGCTGCACTCAAGGCCTCAATATCTCAACGTGGGAAAAGGTGCATCAGTGGCTATGTTCGTCATTACTCACTCCAAATGGGAGCCTGCATATTTTACTAACATCTTTTGCTCTGATTCACAAAATCATTTGCCACCCTCGCTAAACGCAGTGTAGAATTAGCCTGTACCATCAACCGTTATCAAGGGAGCACTGTTAAATACCATAATTTAAGCCTATTTGAATACTGTTACACACCCCAATGGTTCACTCATCAGTAGCTTTCCCGTTTCAGCTCCAGCCCTCAGAATCCCTTCATTATTAGGGGGTCATTTGTATTCTCAATCTTGTTTCCTCCGACCTGCTAATTTCCATAGCGTTTGAGCCCGTTTTGCAGGGGCTGATGCTTATGCATGTTTAGAAAACTTGACGCAGATATCAATGAAAAGGATAAAAACACATCAGCGGTATGAGTTGGCTGTGTCGTTTGTTTCACATCTGGAGAGGTAATGTCCACCTCAGTCTTTCCATCTTTGAAAGTCCCTCAGGTCGTGCAGGTTCTGGGCATCGCCGACTCATTGCTCCTACATTGGCCTCACAGACATACAACCAGATAACCATTTGTCAGCTTTTTTTGTCCCTCTGACAAGATGTCAGTGTGCGCGCACATTGTGTCTGTGCTCTGGAAAGACAGATAGAGATATATAGATAATCTGACAACCAGAGAAAGACATGGGCGGTGGGAGACGGAGAGAAAGAAAAGGAGGGAGGCAAGTAACGCGGTTTGAGGGTTTATCTGATTTGGGGCCGCTGCGTGATACTGGTTTTGATTGTGTTTACGTAGAAGTTCACTGTTGCATCTCCAACTGTCTTTTGTGACATTTCTTTTTTACCTAGATGAAGACCCGCTGCAGCCCATGACCTCTGATGAGACGGTGTCCGTCGGCGGCATGGTGACGTTGACCTGCCGAGTGGCAGAGACTGACAACTCCTCACTGCAGTGGTCTAACACCGCGCAACAGACTCTGTACTTCGGAGAGAAGAGAGGTGAGAGTTACTTTGTTCAGCTAAAGAAAGTTTAAAGAGAAACATGTTGAATGCTGTGACAACAGGCAATCACTGCTCACTGTAGTTTAGCAGCCAACCTTTGCTTTGACTTTGATTTATCCAACATGACTAAGAAAACCAGGTTTTCTCAATCTAACACAATGAGGTCAAGCTGTTCATTATTACATCACTACAACAGATTTGTGCCGCCTTTTGTGTTTCACACAAATGGCTACCTTTGTTTTAGGAGCAGCAATCGCACACTGCAACATGCCAGATGGATTGTTACTACACAGGACCAGCTGGGAAGATGATGCTCAGAAGTTTTTTGAGCATGCTTAGCAATTTCAAAGTGAAATTGACTGTTTATTGGAGAAATGTGTCCTTCACTTCTTACCGTGGGGAAACGGCAGTCAGTCAATCTTGGATCCAGTTGGATACTCTCTATATAGAAGTCATATTTTATTAAAGGTCTAGATGAGCCTGGTAGAATATTTGGATTTAAAGACCTTACTTCCTAAATTTCTAAGAATAGGTTGCTCTAATCAAAGTAATTCCCCTGATTTTATACAAGTATTCATTTGTCTGTCCAAGAATTCATGCATCTTAGACAGATGGGCCATAGTTTTACAGTACAGATTTGCATTTAATTTTAAAAGCAACCAAAGAACAATGGAATGTGAGTGTGAAAAATCTTCCTATTATCTATTACACTTCATATCTGCTGATAAGTGTCACTATTGAAAGCTGATTGGCGAGAAACTACTGTATTTCAGCTCCAAAACATAAAATTAATTGGACCTGCTACATTAGAAGCTGTGATGTTGCTAAAATATGATTAGAGAAACAAAAATTTGTACTTAGAAAGAGGAAATTTTTTTCACTTAAAGATGCCTCTAAATCATGGTCTGAAATGAAAATGTAAAGCTTCCTTTGTGAACATTGGATGTGTTTGAGCTTGTTTTTAAAGTTGTGACTGCTGTAAGATCTTCGTAAGATGCATGAAGTCGCGATGTACAAATGGACTCTGCTAATCTAAAGCATTGCAAAGTAAAAGAAAAACATCACACTCTTGTGCTACTTCTGAACAAATCTAATTTTCAGCCAACTTGCAATTAAGACGCTTGTTTCTGCACTGATGTTGAACAGGGCGCCAACAATCACTTTGAACATAAAGGGGTCAGAAGCTTTGTTGATGCAAAAAAAAACAAGAAAAAAAAAAAACAACTTTCCAAACAAAGACCTTGGGCAGCCAAAAAAGCAAACAGGACGGTTCTGTATTATTGCTGGAGAGTCAAAAGCGCTCGATAAAGGCAACAAAAGAAAGCACAAGACACAAGAAAACAAGGAGTCTGATGAATTAAAGTGCATCAATGTGTCCAATTATAAGAGCCGCGCCTAAAGATTAAATGTCTCAGCTCTATGATAAAACACCGTGTGCAAGCTGGGTGCTTAAAAAGGCGGTGATCTGTGTGGGCTCCTTTATTTGACACGGGAGCAGTATTTATAGCAAAACAAACAAAAAGACTGAAAAAATGTAAATAAAAGTCTTGTATAGTTCTGCTTCACACCACACACTCAGCAAGTTTGAATGAAAAGAGGAGAGAGCTTCACAGATGGATGGAAGATGTGTTTGGATTGTTGGTGAATTAGAAATAGAGAACATGGTGGAGATAGGAAGACTTTCTCTTGCACTAATTTAGCACTTCACAATAGAAGCCAAACAATCACAGGGACAAACTTGAGAATAGTTGGGATGGATCTGACTGCAGACTGAGGAAGTTTTTTCCACAGAGTGCCAACACTGTTGCAACAGACGATTTGGAAAACAGAGAAAATGTGAGAAAGTGTGTGTGTGTGCGTGCATGTGTGTGTTCGGGTGTAGGGGGAAGTTGAAGGACCAGCAAGTTGTTACTCCTGCAAAACGAAAGAAGAACTCTTCTCGCTCTGATGCAAAACTTCAAGTTGGTTTCCTGCTTTGAGGTGAATTGAGAGGATTGGAGGAGAAGGTGGATGTCAGGGAAATGAATATAAGGAGAAGGAAGAAAGAGGGAGTAAAAGTAGAAGGTGTCCCTTCCAGGCAGCCTCGTGCTGCTGCAGCACATCGACTTACAGCACTTTCTGTACTGTAGCTGGTAACAAAGTGCAAGCATTTTTAAAATAATACTTAATGTACCTTTTTACATTGATGCTCTGATAAGAAACTTCAAAATAGCTAATCCATGTCTGTGTTTTCTTGAGGTATAAATATGACCTGAGAAGAGCTAATAAGAGGTCCATTTATCTTATTAGCTGCTGTACTAAATGAAATAAAAAAATAACACAAATATGTGCTCTTAAAAACAACAAGAAAACATCCATTTCTGAAAATTTACTGTAATTTACAGTTGTAGAGGAGCAATTACTACATTTAAATGTAAAAAAAAAAAACAAACAAAAAACAAAAAGGAATGTAACAAAAATACCAGGAGAAACTTTTAATTTGAACTGAAGCATTTTTCCCCAGTTAGCAATTATCCAGTTTAAAATAAAATCAATCAGAACAGTGTGACTGATGTTAGCTGCAAACAAAACCAGTTAGCATTTGCTACAGCTTTCTTTGCCATCAATGCTTCATTTTTATATTTTATCTGTACTTCATTTAACCTTGTTCAAAATCTAAAACACTTAGATTATCCAAAATTATCCAGATCTGGATGATTTTGCATTGAATTTGTTGACATATACGGTTAAAGAAACCTTTACTCCATATGTTTTAAAATAATAATAATAATAATAATTATTATTATATTATTATATATTTTTTTATATGTCACAGTCTTGGAATACAGTTAAAGAAAAAGGCAAGCAAGATTATTTTTGGTTCTTATAGGAACAGGGCTTATTGCCAAACAACACTTTTAATTAGACTTCAACATGTTAATATTGACTCTTTGACCAAATTATCATTCAGTGGTGAAATAACTAAAGAAAAACATATCTATGATATGTACTAATATTGTTTTCTATTCTGCTACTTGAATTTTAGAAGGACTTCTTCACATTTCCTTGGATTTTCTTGCATTTTTTGTTTCATTTTGCTTTGACTTATACAATTTTTATATTTTTAGACAAAAACTTACCTCATTTGGTTTGTTTGATTTTCGGTGCAGCCGAAGTGGTGAAGGGTTTTTTTTTAGTTGTTGAAACCTGGGCAAAATTCTGACATTTATATGCAATATAAACTGATTTATATTGTACATTTAACAGAAATAACTGAAAGTTAACAAGTTACTCAGTAGAGCTAGTTTCATCTTTTTTCAAGTTTTTCCATTGTATAATTTCTTGTACTTTTACGTACTTTTTGAATAATGCATCCGGCAAACTAGGAAATGACTGAAACATAATGGTAGAAATATTTAACGAGTAAAATATAAAATTTAATTCATCCCTGATTTCTCAAGGAGGAACAATAAGGTAAAAAAAAAACGAGAGAAAGAAAAAAACAGGCCCAAAAAGCAAAAAAAGTTTCCTGCAGTAAAACCTTTTCGCCAGGGCCGTTCTGCTCGTTCTGAGTTTCAACCTTCACCATCTTCTCCACTTGTCCAATGACTCGTGCTTGGTGACACGCGTCATTGGACTCGTGCCGAAGACTCGTGCCATATATATATTATATTTTTAAAGATGTGAAAAGTAAGAGAATCCGACACATGAAAGAGGCTTAAATAAAAAAGATTTTCAGCTCCAAAAACCCAAGTCATGATGGAGTAACAAGTGGAACTGAACATTCCTCTTTGCTCCACTTTCGGAAATGATAAATTGAGATGAAGCAGCGAGTCATCGCCGCTGGCCCGAGCTGTGGAGTCCAGACACCTTGTCTCATAGCTGAGACAGCAGGACACAGAGGAGGCAAAAGTATAAAAGATACACCAGAGTCGGAATGAAAAGGAAAGATAATAAAGGACTTGATTGAAGAGGGGCTGAAGAAGAGAAGGAGATGGGAAATGGGAAAAATCAGAACTCCTTGCTGTCTCGTTCCAGCACAGCCCAGCATGCGCCAGGCTTTGGAGCGGAGGGAAAGTAATAAGTGGCCGAACAGTGTGTGGAGAGATAGCAGAACAAAATGACGAGGGGAACTTCTTCATAGTGACGCTCCAGTAAAGGAACTAAGAAACGGTTAATCATGGACTGAAGGAAGAATGATCATTTTATCATAACCAGTAGCTGGATTAATAAAAATTTAAATAATTTTCATGTGAATATTAACCAGGCTAAATCATTAAACTGAGCTTAACAAGAGAACAAGGAAAAAAAAAAGAGGGAGCATCTAAAAACCGGGAAGATATTAAACAGAAGAAGGGAAAGAAAAAGACCTTGGATTTATTGATAATAAAAATGCACTATTCCCTCAAATGATGTGAAATATGATGGAATATCTTGATCGTGATATATGAAATGTTGATCTTGCTGGCATAATCACAGGGCCGCATCGATTCAATCTAGTTCTCGGCGGCGGGGCAAAGCCCCCACGACTTTTATCAGCCAAACAAAGCCTTTGATATCAGTTCAATTTGACCCTGCTCTGCACCAGACGAGGGGTGGCTCAGACAGACAGAGAGAGAGAGAGAGAGGGAACAGTATGTGGCCACATTTAAGGGATCTTTTCTAAAAAAGCTACATGTGAGTGATTAGAAAGACAAAAAATAGTTAAAAGAACAAAGCAGAGGAAAGCAGTCTGGTTCCAGTGGAGCAGAGCTAATGAGAGTTCTGCAACTATAATGGAGATAAAGATGAAGCAAAACAGGAAATTAATTGTTAAGGGACATAAAGCCCAGCTGAGTTTATTAAAGCAGATGCAATGACCAAAAAAAGAAAGCTTCTTTTCTTTTTTCTTTTAGTAGATACTGTCTTGTGTTAATGCGAGCATGAAGGTTTTGTGTGAGGAAAGTGTCGCTCCTTGGCAGAAATGAATGATATGATAACTGTCGCCGATGCAGGATGGCTTAATACACTCTAAAGCC